CAAGCCAGTAAGCAGCATTCTTCCATGGCCTGTGCTCCAGCTCCTGCTTCCAGGTTCCTGCCCTGAGTTCCTACCTTGGGCTCCCAGATGAACTGTGATCCAGGCTACGTAAGCTAAATAAATCCTTTCCTCCCCAAGTTGGTACTTTTCAGAGTATTTTGTCACAGCAACGAAGAACAAACTAGGACAACTGTCTAACACAATTGTCTCAGATACATATGCATATCTGCTGGAACAAAGAATATGTAGACTATTAGAATAAATGTACACACTCAAATTATGTTCATATTTATTCATTTTTATTTCCTACTTCATAGAGAACATGTTTTGTATATACTTTAGTTAGAGGTGGTCAATATAACAAAACACCACACACTGGTGGGCTTGCATTTTTTTTCTCAAAGTTCTAGAATTTGGAGAGGCTAAAGTCAAGGTATTAAGTTAGAATCTGGTGAGAGCCTGAAGCCTGGGTTTACACATGGCCTCCTTCCTGTGTCCCCACACAAAGAAGAACAGAGAGAATAACAGGAAACACTTGTGTCTTTTCTTAAGGTCATTTATCCAGTCTTGTGGGTTCCATCCTCATGATGTAATTTTCTCCCAATGCCCCCACACTGAAGGTTGTAGATTTGGGAGTCATAGCGGTTCATAGCATAGACATATAAGACTGTAATTAAAATGTGGACATAATTTATAGTTAAGTTATTACCATAAGTTTGGAGTAAACACTCAAAATTCTTTTTCTTATGAAATATACAATCTAAGATAGTAATAATCAGAATAATTCAGATAATCTCAGAATTTCTTCTGAAATATTATTGGGTTTTTAGAAACATACAGTGAGTCCTGTTTAATTGCTACATTTTTGTGCAGCTAAGTTTCATATTAGAAGAAAGCTTGGAATAATCAGCCTTGAACATCTATAACTCCATGTCAAGTTCCCTTGAAACAGTTGCCATTAGAGTCTGTCCTCAGACAGCATGTTGAATCCTTTTTCCAGATCAGTGGTGGGATTCATCCTTTGGAGTGGTCTTTACATTCTTAACATGTTTCTAGACTTCAAATCTTCATCCTTTTCTAGGAATTCGGAACTTTGTAAATAATGAGATCATTTGGATCCAAGACAATGACTAAGGAACATGGTAAAAATATTATATGAACTTGCAACAATGGTGACAGCATGCACAAGACTCAAGCACACAAAAATGTAGCATAGAATGAAGGAAACGGGCAGCTGGTCCCAACCCTAGATCCTAAATGAACTATTGACAACTGATTACTGTCGGGTGAGGGAAATTAGGTCTTCTTTAAGGAAGAGACTCTAGATAGGCTGTCTAGACTCCAGTAGGTGAACTTGCACCGAGGGATGTCTGGGTACAAATGCTTGACCAGATAGGACTTAACATATATGACAGAATGCATGAAATCCAGTAGCGGGGGGATGGCTATGGAGGGGCATGGGTGGGGAGGGGTCTAAATTTGGTTAATATCTATTACATGAAAAGCACAAAAACTCAATAAAAATATTAAATAAAAATCATTACAGCCTTTCCACCATCTTGGCTCCAGTGGAGGGCCCTGGGAACAGGACTCCTAAAAGGCAAATATATCCAGAAGGCTGTGGTACAAGGCCACTTTTGCTGGCTATAAGTGAGGTCTCTAGAACCAAAGAGAGAATACAACTCATCTTAAAATTGAAGGTGTCTATGCCTGAGATGAAACCAAATTTACTTAGTCAAGAGACATGCTTATGTGAATAAAGAAAAAAAAAAAAAAAAAAACCAACAAAAAAGTGACTCCTGGTGGGAAACCAAACAAAACCAGAGTAATCTGAGGAAAAATAACTTCTGGCCCATGGAAGAGTATCGTAAAATTTAAAGGTTCTATGCCTGAAAAGAAACCAAATTTATTTAAGAAAAAAACATGCTTTTTGGAAAAAAAAAAAAAAAAAAAAAAAAAACCAACAAAAAAGTGACTCCTGGTGGGAAACCAAACAAAACCAGAGTAATCTGAGGAAAAATAACTTCTGGCCCATGGAAGCAGTGGTACAGTTCATGCCAAATTCCAAAACAACCTTCTTGCAAAGGCCATTGAACACAAAATCTGTGAGATGTACTCCTCACAGATTTAAATGACTAGAAAGTAAATAAATAAAATGGATTTGTTTTATATATATATTCTTTTTGTCAGAAATACCAAAAAGCACAGCATATTTCTTTAGTATTCCTATTCAAGATGTGTACCTTAGTCAAAAGGAAACCCTGGACAGACACAGGCTAAGGCCATCCTACAGAACTTAATGCCCAAAGCCTTTGGAACTATAAAAGACAGAAAATACAGAGAAATGAGACAGAAATTCAAGGAGGGGATGAGAAGGGACATCTGGGAGCCTAAGGACATCTGGGAGCCTGACTCCTAAGGGAGTCAACTGTGTCCACACAGTGCGGAAATGGAAAGGCAGCAAAAGTTTCCACCTATTTTCTTTGACTCTGTGCTCTTTTTATTTTTTTTGTCTTTTCTTTCCTTTTTTTTTCTTTTATGAAAAGACATGTTAGTATTGAATTTTTCTTTTTTCCAAAAGTATAACCCTAGATTTTTAAAAAAAGTACAAAGTAGTTTAAATTTTTTCCCACCATGTGAAGTATCTGAGTCAGAAGGTGTCAGCCTAATGAATAGATTAAGTCTCTCCAGGGAGTTCTCATGTTCATGAAAAGAGCTTGTTATAGGGCAAGGCTGCCCTGTGTCTCTCCTTCCTCACTAGCAATTCTGTTTTCTGCTATGAACTGAAGCGACACAGGGACCTCATTGTTGATGCATCACTGTGTCTTAGACTTCCAAACCCCATAACCCTCAGCCCCTTGACTTTTCTTTCTAAGTTACCCCATCCCGGGTATTCTATTACCGCAACAGAAAACTACTATAATACTGCGATGGTTTCACTCTACACTGTTTCCCATAGGCTCCTATTTTGAATGCTTGTTCCCTTGCCACTAACTCTATTTTGAGGTGCTCTGGAATATTTAGAAAGTGAGCCTAGTGGTCAGAATCAAATCACTAGGGGCAGACCTTTGAAGGTTATCCCCAGCCTCTGGTTTCTACCGTTTTCTGTTTCCTGGTTCTCAGTGACATAAACAACTGCCTTCCACAACACATACTCCCACCACCATGATATACTGCTTTAGTGTATGTAACTGGAGATTGAAACTTCTGAAACTGTAAGCCAAAACAAATCTTTCCTCATTCAAACAAACATCTCATAGAGCCATGAAGCTGTTTTCCTCAACTGACTCTTATCTGGCCGACTCTAGGAGCAAACCCAAAAGCAAAGTTCTCAGACCTCCCTCAGAAGGGAGGTATCACTGACAAAAACATGTCACCTCCATGACCAAGTGAGCATATAGCACTCATATAGTGTGTGAGTTTTATTAATTCAAATAGTGGATCACAAAACTTTATTCGTGTGCAAATAGAGAAATGAGCCTTGCTTCCCAAACCAGGAAAGCCACACAGAGGATGGAACTGAATGAGGAAGTGAACCTTCGTTTATTGTTTATAATGTGCCA